GAACCTTATCGTAAGCTTTTTCTAAATCAATAAAAATCAAATGTAGATTCTCCTTATTATCTCTGAACTTCTCCATCAAACCTCTCAATAAATGTATAGCTTCCATAGTAGACCTGCCAGGCATAAATCCAAATTGATTATGAGTAATTTTTGTGATGGGTCTTAACCTATGTTCAATTACCCTTGACACATCAACTTAATTCCTCTATAATTTGTACACTCTTGTGCATCCCTTTTATTCTTAAAAATGGGGACCAAAATACTCTTCCTCCACTCCTCAGGCGTCTTTTTAGTTTTTAAAATAATATTAAAGAGTTTACTAAGCCAATAAACTCCAAAATCTCCCAAATATTTCCACACTTCAGTTGGGATATCACAGGTCCTACAGACTTTTAACCCTTAGTTTTCTTTAAAGCCTCATGAACTTCTTTTTTACTAATGCGACGGTAAAAATGAAACGTTTTATTATTATTTTCGATATTAAGATCACTAAGGTCGATTGTATTTTCAGAAGCTTTATTAAAAAGTTTATCAAAGTAACCCACCCACCTATGTTGAATATTTTTTCTAAGAAAATTACTTTTTGATTTTCATCTTTAATACACTTTACTTGAGTTAAATATTTACTTTCTTTTCTCTTTGTTTGGCTAGTTTATACATATATTTTTCACCCTCTTTAGTATCTAATCTATTATAAAGATCATTAAAAGCAGAATTTTTAACGTCACAGATTGTTCTTTTAGACTCTCTGCGGGATGTTTGATAATTTTCCCAGTTCTCTAAGCTTTTACATTTAAACCAATTTTTATAACATAACTTCTTATGTTTTATCTTTTCTTGCACATTATTATTCCACCACCAACTATTTTTATTTATAAAAAAATTTTCTTTTGATTCTCCAAGCACATCTTTTGCTACTTGTTTAATAGTGTTTGTTATTTTATCCCACATAACATTTGATTCTTCATGAATATCCCAAAATTTGAAATCTTGAATCTTACTCATAAAAATATTTTTGTGTCTTTTAAGTTTCTTCATCTAATTCTACGATGATGAGTCATAGTATTCTTTATTTTACAACTCTTAATTTTAAAATCTAGAACTAATAAACGATGTTGGGTACTTAAATTTTCACTTGGAATGACCTTACAATCTTTACATTCGCGACGATCTTTTCTTCTCATAAAACGAAATTATAGTAAATATTAAAATTATTTTCATATGAATTATATGGCACAATAATTATATAATAATAATATTTTCATCAATTTAATATGAGATATTCTAAACAGGTCACTTCACCGTTGAAAAATATAAGTTTGATTCCAAATTAAAAATTGGGGACTTGATATTTTAATTTTTTTTTCTCTATATAGAGTTATACAATTATACAAATGTTTCCAAAGGTATCTGGAGCACTACCACTAACAAACAAAATTAGAAGAAATTTTATCATTTTTTTTTCTTCTATATTTTTAGACATTCAATTTCAATATAGGTGTATAAATTTATGTAATTGTATAAATATAAATCTTTATTTGTAGCCATTTGATTGAAATTGAAAAAAAAATAAATTGATCAATATTACAACTTGACAATCCATTAAAAACTGGAACAGTATTCCAATTGCCCCGTTCAATATCCAGCTTCGACTGGTTCTCTGTGAACTTTTTTTTTGGAACTTGATCGAACCATGCAGAATACAGTTTCATGTTTCAACTAATTGGACTAGTCGGTCCTGTTTATTTTTTGAATGGGTGGAGTTGTTGAGGTTTCATCAAGAAGTCAAGGAATGAGTGAAAATTGCAATTATTACATCATGTGCATTTGATGGTGAATTCATCCATTTTTATTGAACCCCAGTAAATTAGTTAGAGTCTGTCCAATCCAATTTTTTAGAATTAAAGTTAGTGTTTTATTAACCTGATGGCTCGTTGATTAAGATCAGTTGTCCCAAAGTTAACGGTAAACAGCTTGTGGCTTCATTTTACAACTTTTCTAATTCTGGTTTATTAGTTGATGGAATAGTTGCCTGTATAAGAAGCAAAACTTAAGTTCAATTGTCTTGTTTTTCAACAGAGATGACTGTTGTGTGACCATAATTACTCGATATCTGGCTTTGCTTAGTTTCTAGATGGGCCAAGCATTCACCTTAGATACAATATTGGCAAAAATGTGCAAATGATTGACTGAACTAATTTAATATCCCATGTAACACTTAGCCATAATATATGGAGAATGAAATTTCATGGACCTAGCCTTCAATCTTGGGGATAAAGCATGATGATGTTGATGGTCCTGACAAAATGTGTAGGCTATCCTATTCTTGTGCTTGAAGGCAAGGATGGTTATACGTCTTATGTAATTGGATATTCTCGATATTGTATATGCTTAATTAACCATAGCATTCTATATAACTTTATATAGTCCTGCTGGTTTTTTGCTCATATTTGTAGGCTTTGGATTCACTTAGTCTTGTGATTTGTGAAGTGTTTAATGATGTTATGGAGGCACGATGCTGATGCAACCTCAACATTTATATTTTCTTGAAAAATAGGATGTGAGCATTGAGGAGATTATAGTGGCATCAGCTTTGATCTTGGTTGTTTTTAATCATCTTGGTATTTCATAACATGTTTTGTTATAAATAAGCCTATGATGGTGATCCTTCTAAAGAACATGTTTTGTTTTTGTATCCATGTTGGTTTGGTTCGTCTTATTGTTAGGTCTTTCTTGTTTGCACAGCTGGTTCTTTACTTCCTGTTGGTTCTCTATTTTCTCTCCAGCTGTGGGTGTAGTGTATCTTCTTTTGCTGCTCAACTATTGCAAGAATTGCTACCCGTTGGAGACACATGCTTTGCTATCGCTGAAATTGCTATCGTTGCAGCTGAATTCCATAACTGTTTCAGTTTCTTAATGGGAAGCTGTAACTCTCGACTCTTTGTTGACGCTTAAAGCTTGAATTGCTATAATTGCTGTTTTGGAAGGCTGGTATCGTTGTTTTGGTACCTTCCATTTTTTACATCGTAGCAGGATTCAGTAATTTATTGACTTGGGTTTCTGTTACCATATCAACTTCTGTATTTTGCTGTAGTTATGTGTCTTATTTTACTTGCTCTGTTTTAGGAATTGCATGGTTGCGGACTGTGTTTTATGATTATGAAAGCGATCTCTTGGCACTTAAAAAAGCAATTGCTTAGTGAAATTTCAAAATTTCTTTTAATCCCATGTTTGCTGGCTGGATCTAAAGTCTTTGAGCGTGGCATAGATGTTAGTTAACAGCCTATGGTGCAGGCCTTTTTTCCATGAAATCTTATTTTTGGGCTTGTTATGTGCATCTCATCCTAGATTTTCCCTAGACCCTAATTTGTCCTGCATTAGAATTAGATGTCCTTATTGGAAAAAAGAAAAATTGTGTTGGATTTTATTGGCCTCGAATCACTCAAGTTTTTAGATTCACCATCTGGAATAGATTCTTCTTCTCTGCATGGTCATTAACATATTGGAAGTTTGAAGATAGGATGGATAATGTTAACTTCTATCATCTCTGTTTTGTTTGTCCTCTTTAAATCAGAAACTTATGCTCCTAGGTGTGCAACTTGGGAAATGTTTGATTCCATCGAGATTATACAGTTGCAATGAGCCTTGAATGTTATTTATGGGAAGCATCTGAATTCTTTGTGAGCTAGATATTTTCAAAGCATGAAAGTATAATGAAAATTTCCAATTTGTTTTCTATTATTAGCGAACATTATTATCCTTATTTGCTTTTATTTTGTCTGGTTAATTTTGATTTCTGGAAGACAATCAAATATATTGAACATTTGGAGAAGAGATATATTTAGGATAGGAAACTTTTGACAACATTCTTTGATGTTATCTATGTTATATTGAAAAGGCTCAACAATTCTAGCCAATTGATTAGCTGTTGATCATTTTAAATTTCTATTTTCAGCATATAACGCAGCAACTGTGAACTGACATGCTGCTTGGCCATCATTAATGTAGTAATTAGGACAATTTTGGCATTTTCTAATGCTGAACATGGTTTTGAGTTTTGATGATTTTGGCTGAAACTGTTCCAAAACTCATTAATTTGTTTGGTTTAAGCCAGTTTCGGAAGTTGTAATAGTTTCAGCTAAAATGTAAGGGCTTTGGTTGAGTTTGAAGAGAAATTTAATTGATACTCAAAAGTTCACTTGGAACTTTAATGTTTTTAGTGAAACTTTACCAAAACTCTTAAGTAGTCGCCAATGTTCTACTATAATTATATAAGTAACGATCATTAAATTTTATATGTATTATAAGTTCAATCTTTATTAGATAATGATTTTTGTTTCATACTTTAAATATGTATTTTATAATATTTTCTTATACAAGAGTAATAGAAACTGTGAACAAAATTACTTTTTGAAACTGATGGTACCTTTGAAACTATCGAAGCCGATATTATTTTCTTTTGGACCAAAACTGAGTTTTAATACCTTTATTCTAAAGTTTGCTATTTTTCTAGCGTTTTATTGTTTTGCTTATTTACTCAAATCAATGTAGTAATAGCACATTAAACTAATAAATGTAACTCAACCATGCCGGATCTTGAGAAGCTAATTCTTTTCTTCTGACATTTGGATTATAGATAATCATAAATTTTCAATGTGTACAACTTGACACAACTCATAATAAACAGGAACTTGTTAGAAGAATTTTCAGTTTGGCTGGTATTCTTTAGCATAAAATAATACTGATGTTAACCTTAAGGAATACACTTAAGCTCTTTGCTGGTTTCGTTTTATGTTTGCACCAACTTTTTTCACCTTAACCTTGTTTTCAGCATATTCATCATTTTCTGTACAAAATGAAATTTGATTAATGAAACCATATTCTTTACTTTGTAGGGAGAGCCTAGTTTTCACTTATTTGGATTTATTATGTGTGTTGGTGCAACTGCTGCAAGAGCATTGAAGTCAGTGTTACAAGGGATTTTATTGTCCTCTGAAGGGTAATAAGACTATCTTCCAATAGGCATTCATATTCCAGCTTTCAACATCTTGCCTGATTTACTAAAGATTTTAGTTATGCCACATTCGGCTCTTGAAAATTTTACTTTATTTGTGATCATTGAATGATTCAATACCATCAGATTATTGTTAAACTCTCTTTTTTGCTTAAAAGATGCTTTTATTTATTTTTTTTTGGTTTTTGTTGTTTGGTATGCTGAACCATATGCGTCCATTCATTTGTGCACCTTTTCTGTAGGGAGAAGCTTAATTCGATGAATCTCCTTCTATACATGGCTCCTATTGCAGTTGTATTCTTACTTCCTGCTACACTTATCATGGAGAAGAATGTGCTTGGCATAACCATTGCACTTGCTAGAGAAGATGTTAAAATTGTTTGGTATCTCTTGTTTAATTCCTCTTTAGCATACTTTGTGAACCTGACTAACTTCTTAGTCACCAAGCATACTAGTGCTTTGACTCTCCAGGTACCTTTGTTTTCTTTTCTGTTATTTTGACTGTTTTATTCGCTTGTTACTGCAAACTAAACAATCAATTGATGGTAGTTCAGGTGTGCAATCTAGATAGGCCCAGTATAGCACCCAAGCTTGGCTTGGACTACCACATGGAAGTTCTGCTCAACACTTTAGAAGTGCTAATGTATATTAGATAGTAAAATATATATGCATACATATTATTCATGTTGTTAATATATTTTTTATATTATTTTGAGGTCTAGGTCCAAGATAGCCATTTTATGAGTAGGCTTGGCTTGGTCATAATTCCTGAATTAGTCGACATCCCTATTTGTCTTGGCTTACCAATTTGTTTGATGTATTCAAACATAAGGCTGATAGCAATTCAATTTTTTGACAAACATCAACAACTCTTTCTATTGCTTTTTACTCTGGTTGTTGATTGCATCGTACTATGATATTTCTTTTGTCGTTATTAATTGTACTAGGTATGTTGGCTTGCAGACATTCCTTTCTATATTGGGCCTTTTCATTAGCTTTTAACTATGAAGCAAATTTTATTTTTCATTGTATTTAAATAGTTCTTTTGTCTTCTCATTCCAATTCAAACAAAAGTAGTGAATATTACCTACCCAGGATAAGTTTATAGTTGAATCATAATAATAGTGTAGAAGAGGTACAGTAGGTCCTACTATGGGAGCTCTTAGAGATCAATATTTACTTGATATGAGAGTGATAACCATAGAATTCTGTGGGAGCTGACGTAAAATCAAAATTAAAGATTTTGATTTCTATTCTAGCCATGTTTTAGTCAACAATATTCAAGTTTGGGTTTATTTTTGAGCTCATTCAAATAAAATATATTATTTTATAATATATTGTTAAGTAATCATGATCATCCTTTGTATAAAAGTATTCAATGTTTAAATGTGTATGCATCTGCCTCTTTATATGTTATGTAATTATACAGACGCATGTGCACATGTATTTTGTATTTACACTCACCTAAAGATTGCATAGTCATGTATCAAGTTTATTATGACTTGAATCAAAATTATTTTAAGCGAGTTATCTTCGAGCTGATGCATATTGTTGATATGCATATCCAGTTCAGGAAATCGTGGTCTACTATTATATTATTCTCCCTTCTTTATTCATTATTGTGTTTTTATTTCTTTTTTTTTTATCATGATGATTTGATTTTTCTTCCAATTGTATGAGAGTTGGTCTCAGTTATATATATATATATATATTAGAAAGCCAAAAAAGGCTAATATATTAACTAGATAATATATTAACTAGAAAGAAAGAAACTAGAAAGAAAGATATATATACAATGTGTTGAAGGGCCCAAACATGGCACCCTGTCCACACCAAATCCACAAGTGGTTCCAAAACTATAGAATACAGAAAAGTACAATAGACATAAATAAAAAACCTAAAAATGCTAAAATACAAAGTATCAGGTGGCTAGAGAGCAACCCAATTTGGTTTTGCCTCTGCCTCTGGTTCTAGGGAAGGAGCAAGCTAATAAGTTGGCAAGATGATTGCCAAGATGAGATGATTGCCATTGCCGGTAGTAACTAATGTATCATCCAATATGTTCCCTAGCTGGAGTTGAACTCCTTTCTTCTTCCTCCTGGATAGACCTGCCATTCCTCTTCCGAAGACCTGATCTTGATCTAGAGTGTGCTGGAGATGTGCAGATTGTTGAACATTAGAAGCAACGACCTGTTGTACCGACTGATCTGCTATTGGATCAAAGGAGCATTTTCATGTGTCTTGACATGTAAGTGAGTCTTCTTCAATAACAGTGGGTGGTATAAGCACAACTGGATCTGTAGCTATAGTCTGTTGTTCTTCTTCAGGAACAACGGTGTTGGGAAGAGGATTAGGTTGCATCTTCTCAACAGGGATAATAGATGATTGTTCTTTAGTGATATTCAACCTTAGATGAGGATGCAAATGTTAATAAATAGTAGAGCTATGACCAGATATACTATAATGAGAGCAATAAGGAGGGTGTGGTTCGATTTGAACCTTTTGCCAATACCCGTTGTGAGTAGTTCCAATTCACACCTCATCCGGAGCAGGTTGAGTGATATCCCTCTCAACTAACACACAAGCCACAGAGGGTCTGGTGACAGCAAACGTAAGATTATTAACCCTATGAATCCTGAGAGGCTTACCGTAAGCAGTTGCTAAGGAGTAGAGAATTTCCAAATTGAACAGATGTAATTTTAACCCCAAAAAATTTATTCAAACTGGAATGATAGGGGACTTCGCCTTTGGGTCGAAAACAACAGTTTACTTCAGAATTTTCATATTACGATTGTCGATTTTGATAACTTTCCGAGAAAAGATGCGGGTATAATTAACATCATGAGACAACTGAATCAGTATGTGCCAACCACCAAGTAAATCAATATTCCAATTACCCAATAGCTTCATAGCCTCAAACTTTTTCCGAATGATCTCCAATTTTGGGTTACCATAAAGAAATTTCCCAACTAGAGCAAAACACCAAGAGGATGCGAGAGTACTGGTTTCATCCTCTGTGAGAATAAGAGCAGACTTCTCATTTTTTTTTATGAAGGTGAGATCGCCACCACCTTCAAGAGCATCGTGAAAAGATTGAGGAACATTGCAAGATTTACCTATACAAAAACCAGTCTCTGATCTGAAAGAGGAGCACGAGTAGGAATCGAGAGGTCGCCGGCAATTGCAGTAGCATAGGAACGGATAGCCATCTTTGCCGACAAGATTCTGTCGGACAGGAAGCGAGGAGACGTCATCTGAAAGGAAATGCGAAAACGCAGGCAGAGCCGTGCGACAAATGCAACCAAGCAAACAGAGCAGCAGCTCTGTCGCCAGACTGAGACAACGCGACGACTGCGAAGGAGGCTTCCTGGACAGACAAGGACGTCGTCTGGAAAGAAATGCGAAAACTCGGTTTGCATCGTCGTCTGGAAGGATGCGAAGATGCGAGCCTGCCGTCGGAAACACGACGAACATGAAGCACAACAACAACGCAACGACGCGAGCACCGACTTCGACGAAGACGAAGCAGGGAAATAGAAACGCAAGAGAGATCCGTGTAGCAGTAAGCTAGGGTTCACCATGAGGCGAAACCCTAGCAGTGGAAACGACACCATGCCGACAAATTTAGAGTTTATTCCTCCAAAAATCCCTTATTATTAGAGCAAGGAAACAAACCCTCGCTTTTTTTTTTTCTGCCACCGGAGCGTCTCCAACAGTCGTAGACAGCCAAAATCTTCCCTATAGTTGCCTGAATGCCTTCATTCTTACAACCAGACTTTCCTAGGCAGCAACGCCGTTTTTCTCCAAACAACAGCAACAGTCTTCTTCAGGTAGCAGCGCAGTTTCATCCAAGCAGAAGCAGCGACCTCCTCTAAATAACAACGATTCGTGGAATTTCATCAGTCCGATGGTTCTGCAGGCCATTCCAGCGGGTCAGCCCAGGCTTTGCGGCCCAGGCTTTGCGACCCAGGCTTGCATATTTGAGCTACTAAGACACACTAGCAACACTTTTTCTCTCAGTAAAAGCACAAAATAGTCTATCGACTATTAACAAGTGTCCAGTTTAGTCTCAGAGTTTTAAGATGCTCCAATTTAGTCCTAGACTATTAAAATATGATCCAAATTAGTTCTAAATTATATTTTTCCTAAATTTTTTTGATAGCTTATGTCCAAAATAAAAATGACTGTATATGTTGTTTGGCTGGATTTAGGCTATATCTTGCTTTAAAACTAATTAAATACTGCTCAAATATGATTTAAGCAAACGCCACAAAATCTAAATTCCCATTTCTTCATCATTTTCTGCTTTTAAATCCGATTAAATAATTTATTTTCTCACATATATTACATTTTTCTTCTTCGACGAATTACTCTTCTCCGTAAACTTAAAATGTTGTATTTAATCGATTGGAGTTGCAACTTCTCCAAGTCGAATTGACATAGGTCGAAACAACCTTTCTTTGCAATGAACGATGGTTGAGGGAAATGCGCAAGCGCTCAGATTGAGATGAAGCCTTGTCATCGATGCATGCACTGGAGATGGAGATGGAGATGGAGATGGAGACTACTTCGTCGAGTGGAGAAACAATGAATGAGTACTCGCCTTGAGTTGTTTGCTATGTGGACGGTGAAATAGAAGGGGAGAAGTCGCCCTCAGATGGAGATGAAACCTTGTCATCGACCCAAGCAACACGGATGGAGATGGAGACTGCTTCGCCGGGTAGAGAAGCAGCGACAAAGTGCGCGTCTTGAATTGCTTGCTCCGTTAATGGTGAAACAAAAGTGGAGAAATCACACGAGTGGAGGAGCATCAAAGATTCAGATTTAAGCTGATATTGTTTTGCGTATGAATCCTCCAGTGAGAACTGGTGAGCCCTTAATGCGTTTAATTTGTGAATTTTGTAAATCACGGAATTACCCTTCAAAATGTGAAAGGAGCTGTTAAATTAAATGAAAAATTTTATTTGGGATCAATTCAGAAAAAAAATTTTTAATTGTCAGGGACGAAATTAGAGCATTTTAAAACTCGAGGACTAAATTGGACACTTCTTAGCCAGAGTATTATTTTGGGTTTTTCCTACTTTTTCTCTCTTTGGCTGAAATCTAGCGACCTTAAAGTTTGAATTTTTCTCTATGGTGGAAATCATAGAGACCGAAGTTTGAATTTTTCTCTCCAGTGGAAATCATTGGGAGACCTTCGATTGGTTTTTTCTATTTGGTGGAAATAACAAAAAACCTCATTGTTCTATTTTCTCTTTCCCGTGAAATTAGTAGAGGACTTGGCGGCTCGTTCTCAATTGAAAGCCAAGCTAGAGAGACCTTGATGCTTGTTTTGTATCTCGAGTGCACATCTTGTGGCAACGATAAACAGTTTTCTTTTCGAGTGTGAATTAGATGTCTGCAATAGAAAGTTTCACTCTGGCATAGATCCTGTGGCAGTAATAGACATTTTCTTACTCTAGCTGAAATCC